AATAATCTAACTTGACAATAATGACTATTTATATATTCTATAGGAATAAACTTTTCATTTGCAAATCGATCAGTTTTGGAGGAGTTTATGCGTATCCAACATAATTTATCTACAAATTTAATGTCCTTAAGTTTTAGTTTACACAATTTATTAGGATGACGCATGGTTTTTAACCCAATAGCTACCAAGATAGTATCACATATCTAGCAATCCTTACTCACATAATATAGTTTCTTGTTAATAACTGCTTTAAGACAGAAACTGTCAAGGGTCACAGTACTATTTTGGATCTTTATTCTTTCTATTTTCTCTAACTAATGCTTTATAAATTTTTTTAACCCTATAATTCTTAGAAGGATCTAATAACTGATGATCCAAATGCTCTCTTGACACAACCGCTAAAAAATTTACATATCTTGAAAATAAATATGTTAGATCTAACCAAACAAGAAAGGACACAAGCATATTAACTTCTGATAGTAATACCACTAAATCTATAACCTTACAATAGTCCTTATATATGCTCTATGTATTATCCAAATGTTTTCTAAAACTGACTTTCTATTTAAAGCTTGAGCTCTTAATAGCAACCTACCAACTAGCCTACTCTTACTGCCAGAAATTGTCAATTCAGGTTTCTTCAAGATTCTACTTCCACTAAAAACCCTTTACAAAAGACATCTGAGCTGGGGCAAAACAAAATAGCTTATCTAAATATACAACAGCATTGGCCACCATGCTGCTGAGACCCATCTGGGTACAATTATCATTGCTACTGCTCTTTTTTCTATTATATGCTATAGAACTCGATGAATTAGCACTATAGATAGGTATATATAATTGTTTTCTTTTGACCAGTCCTGAGCAAAGCAGTTTATATCTTCTGAATTGGGAAAAAATATTTGCTGTTAAAGTATACTAACCTGTTGTTCTGATGTTTAGCCATATGATTGACTGTATGTGGTCTCTACTTCTTCTCTATAAGATCAAATATTGTCAGATTCAAGCACTAATTGTTCTTGTTTAAAACCCTGATTAATGTGTCTGCCAGGTTTACTTCTGAGAGTATCCAAAACACTTCATTGATCCAAATCTTCTATCTGTCTATCAAAATCCACAATCTTCTTAGCAAGTTCTTCTGCTATAGAAGTCTGTCTCCTTTTAAAACTGTTCTAATAGCACCCTGATTATCTATATGCAGATTTATTTATGAACCTTGTAGTAGTCTTGCAAAAGAATCCAATCTCAGAATTACTGTTTCAGCCTTCAGCCTTGTAATTTCTCTGTGCAACTTTACTGAACTCCAATTGTCACAGGCCTTGAGATTTCTATAAACTGCTGAAAATTCTATCGCCAAAATATTAATAAAAACCTGCTTTACTCTTGATAGTTTCTATACTGGATACTTATTTTTCTTTTCTAAATTTTTTGCACCCACTTTGCATTCTCTCAGGCTTGCTCTGAAATATCCACTAAAGCATTCCAATGCTATAGACTTCTGTTTGCAGTATTTATTAACAAATAAAACTTCAGACAATGAATCTTTATATGTATGAATACCCTGTTTAGTGATTAAATTTTTCTTGCTATTGATGCTAACCTGCAAGCTAAAATCTTCTCTTTTCTCATTAACTCTAATATTAACTCCCTTACCTCCAAAACCTTGTCTTCTAGAACAATGACTTTTGCTTTTACTGTATCAATTATCAGGCCAAAAAACTTTATGCATTGAGATAGAATCCACTGACCCTTTGATATTTCTCTTACTAATCTACATTTTTTCAGATCCACTTTTATTACCATTTCTCTTGATGCAATTAGAGTATTCAATAAAAGATGAGCCAACCAAAAATTATATAAATAGTTTTCACAAAATAAATCTAAAGATCTCCAATAACCTACTATAGCCCTTATAATCTTGGAAAAAATTCACACCACCTGCGAAAGACCGAAATAAAGAACTTTGTAGTAATACAAACTTCTTAGCACTTGGAACCCAAGAATACACTATACATTCTCCCTCATCATCACGTGGTGATAACTATCTTTCAGATCCCACGTGATCATATACTATCTCTTTTCTATTGTATGAAGCAAGCCACTATGCCTGTAAAACACACCCTTTTTTTTTGAAGAATAGTGTTTAAATGTCTCAAGTCTATAACTATCCACCATTTCTTTGGCCCTTTTTTGGGTACTAGAAAAACTGAGCTTACCTCTAATAAAAATTTTGGCTTTACTTTGTGACTTTCCAAACAACCTATTGCTGCAGATTCTTTTAACTATTCTAATTCTTTCCTTATTTATTCCTGTTGGTTTACTAACAACTTGTACTGTTTTGAAACAGACTTTGCTACCAATACTAATATACCCCTTGAGTGAAATAAAACCTCATTCCTTAGCCAATCCATAACTACCAGTGACAGACAAATCTTGTGCTGCCAATAATCCAGAACAACCAATGCTTGTATTCTTCCTACAACTGAAATTTGACTTCCTAAAAACACTTTTTATAGGTCCAACCCAAGTGTAGTCAATCTTGGCTCTTTGGTTTGTGGGTTCGAGTAGAGACAATTCGACACAATGTGTCTGATACCCCCACAGTTGTAGCAAGTAATTGCCCCTTGTCAATCTAAAGGCCCATAGAAACTTCTACTCCAAAAGGACGATCTTCTCTTCTTTCTCCTACTTTTTTCATAATAATCTTTCTCTGAATCAGATGATATAGATAATGCTCTTTTTCTTTTGTGTTAATATTTACAAAAATTATTACTATAGCCCCAGTTATATAAATGTAAAACAGGCCTTGTCTGGCAAAATAAAGATATGCAATCCTTGTACTTTTCTATCATTTTATCATTATAATCTACTATTTGCAGTGCAGCATCCCATCCCCTATTATCTGCTAATCTCAGTGTAACAGCCCTTGACCCCACCTCATCACATACACTAACAAATTCTTCAAGCTGAATTGGGCAACAACTTACCAATTTTCGCTAGAAAATCGTACTCATACTGATCACAGGATCTTAATAAATTAACTTTTGGCCAAGCCATGTATAGCAAATCCCTCTCTTCAATCTCCTTATGCAAAGCAGAGAAATTCCTATCCATTTTCATTTTAATGCTACTTAAAGCTATCAGAAAAACATCAACTAGAACTAAACTAACTTTTTCTTTCTCTTGAAAACATACTGCCAATTCCTTTCTAATTCTATTATCAGCTTCCAGAGAGGCTTCATCCAAATCATCATCAACCTCCCCACCTCTGTCTGCATCCAAATCTATATCTACCACTTCTTTTGGCCTATCTTTTACATCATCGAGACCTTGCTTCTGCCCCTATTAATTCTATTAAACTGAGCCTCTGGCTCTCTTTCTTTCCTTTTGCCAAAGTAAATATGCAGTCTTTCATCTAGCTTCTGTTTATTATCCTCTATAGACAGGCCATAAGCTATATATTAATTCTTTAGCTTTGTCAAGATCAGCTTCGATCAACTTCTAACATACATTGTGCAATTTATAGACAAACCTGAAACTATGTATAGAAAAAAACCAAATGCTAAAAGCAGTTATTTAGAACAAATTAAAATGTATATGATACAAAATGATAGAGCTAGCCTTCATAAGGTGAGCAATAGCAAAACGAAAGATAATCTACTTTACCCAAAACAATAAGCCTTAAATATTCTCTTTTTATTTTTCTGTATCACTGATTCATTTCTGGCTATTGCCATTATCTCTTACCCTTGCTACCAATTTCATAATACTCATAACAATGCAAAAATCAAATAATCATATGTCAATCCAAAATTACTTGTAAATACAAGCTACCAAAATATGCAACAATAATCAAAGAATAACTATAAAAAGATATATAGCAAACCTGGAATGTGACTGGCTATAAAGTTATTTGATTTTGCAATAATAATTACCCTGTCACTTTGTCAACAGGCTTTTTATTTTTGATATCCCGTAATTTAGTAATCAGGTCTTGGTGATTTTGGTACCATTAAATCTTCTCAGTGAGACAATTTGAATAGTGCCAAGTAGCAATATTACATAAACCTAACTAAAGAGGATAATTATATTTTTACCTAATTTTGATCAACATTGACTATTTATCGTAATTCCAAACCTAACAACCAATTAACATGCATAATGATTGTGATGATTATCATGATAATGTTAATTTTTGCCCTATATCTATTAGTAATGTTGTCTTGTTTAATTGATGAGAAGAATTTTTCTGATCAGAAGCTTTAATTGCATCTAATAATTAAAATTTTATAATTTTATTTCTCATAGTTGGTTAGTTTATATAAAATCATTTGAAGTAATAAACTAAATCACTTTTCTTAAAAAATAAAATATGAACGCCATCTCGAATAATCAAGGTTTAAAAAAAAAAAATTGTTTTTTAAATTTGTATTATTGTTTTAAAACAATTTAGTTGTAAGCTAAACTACTTTTTTCAAAAAATAAAAAATAAATTGTCATTATAAATGTCTATAAAATTTTTTAAAAAATCAGGTTTGCTTTTCATTTTTGTTTTTTTTTATAACAGTTATTAACAAACTTTGTAATGAAAGATTTATATGAAAATACATCTGATATATCACAAATAGTAAATAAGAGTAGACATCCAAGAGCTGATATTTGGAATTATTTTATCTGTAGAGAATCTGATGGTAAAGGCCACTATAGCGCCAAATGTAAATACTGTATTAAAGAAAAGTAGAAACGGGAAAAACCTTCATTCATGGAATCTTATCTGGCACTGCATTGTAAAGGTGGTGTTTCTGATGAAATAAGACATCATTGGCTAGTTGAAGTTGCAAAATGAAATGACAAGAATACTGATTACAGTGATAATGAAAATGCATTATTAGTCTCTTTAATTAAACCTTTATATTTATATTCTAAACCTGTTGAACCTGTATTCGATGAAAAAAATAATGAAATTAACAAAGCTTTACTTAAAGCTTTCATTTATACCAGAATTTCATTCTCTGTAATTAATAATCCATTTGTTCAGGATCTTCTTAACCTTTCTGAACCAGTGTATACTTCTTCTAGAAGAGTTACACTAGCCGAACGTATACTTGAAAAAGAGGCTGCTCTAATAACTGTACAAACTAATAATTTACTTGACAAGAAGAATCATTTAACTTTAGATAAAAAATGTTATATGTATGAGTACTATTAAATTAAAACCTCTAGGTAAAAATTCAAGTTTTTTTCTTATTAAACTTGATAAATTAATATGTAAATTATATTTTAATATAATTTATATTTTAAACCAAATTAATTTATTATTTATTACTCATGACTATAGATGCAGACTTATTTATGTCACTAGTTACAGTTCAATTGTGTTCTATATTATAGACTGATTTTTTATATAGAATGTAACTAGACGATATCATAAGTCTGCATCTATACTTATAATATTTTATATATAGCAACTCCTGATACTTAATTTGATGGTATTTTCATATAAATATAAGTATTATACATAGCATGATACTTATATTTATCTTATAAAAATTTTATATATAATAATCAATATATATTATTATAAACAGCTCTTGATGGGTGGTTGAGTCCAGCAAATGAGTTATTATATAATTTTATTATCTCTACACCTAATAGAAAAAAGTATTTATATGCTATTTCAGATTTTTCAGATGCAACACAAACTAGAGAATTCTTTGCCTTTCAGATTTCTCATATTGTTGATAAAGTTGGTATGGATAAATTTATAACTGACAATAGGAGCAATGCTCGTGTTGCTCGTAAAATTACTACATACAATTATTCACATATTTGAAATATCAGATGTGTTGCCCATGCATTGAACCGGATCTTCTTTAGTATAGGTGGGTATATATAAACTATTACAAGATTATAATATATAAAACCTAACTAATTTGAGCTAATTTAAATTCTAACCTTAATCCTAATCCTAATAAGTTATAAAATAACTTAAATTAGTTCAAAATACTTAATTTATATATATTATAATTGTATAATAATTATATATGCCCACCTATACTAAAG